TGACATTGGGAGAGTCGAACCACTCTCCCTGAATCACTCTTTCACGCTTGATCCTGATGAATCTTATCATTGTCATCCTGGAATATGTGTACATCTTCCCTCATGGTTGTCCTAGAAATTAAAAGCTACACACTGTATCAGTTAGGGTTATGAGGACTGTTGACAAACATGCCAGAAACATATTCATCACGGCAAAAATAATTAAATCCTGAAATCTTAAGTATTTGCTTTACATCCAAATGGCGACTTTTCTTTGGCCAGGCAGTGTATTTGAACAATTTCTTGCAATGTGATCAAATCATATACAATTTTTATGACCATGCTGAATTTCGCTTAGACTTTCTGCAATACGCATTTATATGTAAGTTGATTGTTAGTGTAGTGTTTTGGTATTTTCAATAGAGCAGTTTTTTTCAGCCAGTTAAAAGTACTAAAACTTCTAAACAAGTCCTCGACAAACATTTATAGAGCAGAATATTAATTACGGTTTAGAATATTTGTTTATGATTATGATTATTATTATTAATTTGAAAGTATACCCACATTTTTAAAACTTGCTATTTCAGGCATATTAAATGTAGCGATCACTGATCCTAAAGTCAGACAAATGTGTGCGCTCTGATAACAGGGTCTTTGTTTTTGTTATGGACTGTCTGTCTGTGTATTACGGGGGCACAGTATTTCAACGCATTACAAAAAGCTCAGAAGCATCTGTAAATGAATGATCACAATAGTCAATCTATATTGTGCAACATAAATAGATTTTCTTCACCATCATTTTTCACCTTAAGACTTCATACAGTGGAATAATCCAAATGAGCAGATTCAATTCTGGGTAACACTTTATAATAACTTTCATTACTAAATCATTACTAAACATGTAATGCGCAATGGATCATTAGTTAATATATATTCACATATCTAGAAACGTGAAATAATATTCTTGTTATTGTTTACTAATAAATGTATTAAACATTACCTAATAATTAACATTTCATGTAAATTAAAATGATCCTGCACATTTTAAAAATCAATAAATGATTTTAACAGATGTTATACAATGATTAAAAGCTTTTGTGTCTTAGATCTTATGCACTCACACACACACACACACACACACACACACACACACACACACACACACACACACACAGACACACACGCACACACACACACACACACACATACACACACACACAGAGTAAAATAAGGGTTTTATAATAGATATTAAATTACAATAATGTGCAACAATGTTAAGTGAAACAGAGAAACGTTTAATTTCATAATCACAAACCTCTGTAAAACACGACATTTTTGTTGTTGTTGATTTAATCAACTGAATTCTGGCCACTGGTTCCGCATAATTTGTTTGTATGCAGTTTCCTTTCTCATTCATGTAGTTTCAATATAAGTGTTTTGTGTTAATTAGATGTAATTTCAATTAAGTACAGAGTATAAGTTATCCCAAAATAATTCAGCCATGTTAACTTTTATGTTTGATAGAGTTTTAGATTGTGTTATTTTTCTACTCCAGCACATCCTAAAGCTTTCAGTGGGGTTAAGATCAGGTGCTAAACATACAACATGCCAGAAACATATTACATAACTGCAAAAATAATTCAATCCTAAAATCTTAAGTATTTGCTTTAAATACAAACGATGAGTTTTCTTTGGCCATTGCAGTGTATTTGAACAATTTCTGGCAACGTGATCAAATCACATAAGATTTTGATGACCCTGGTGAATTTCGCTTAGACTTTGCACAATATAATTATGTTCTCATCTCAAACATGAATGTATGTAAGATGATTGTAAGTGTATTGTTTTAGTATTTTCAATAGACAACTTTTTTTCAGTCAGTTAAAAGTACTAAAACTAAATTCTTAAAGCAGTCCTCAACAAACATTTATAGTGCAGAATATTAACTACGGTTTAGAATATTTTCTGTATGTATGTATGTATGTATGTATGTATGTTTTACTTATTTATTTGTTTCTGTTTTAATTTTGAAATTATATCCACATTTTTAAACTTGCTTTTTTTAGGCATATTACTAAATAGTGGCACTGAGAAGTCAGTATGAAAATATAGTGATCCTAAAGTCACTGATACAAAAGTCAGATAAATGTGTGTGTTCTGATAACAGGGTCTTTGTTTTTGTTATGGACTGTCTGTCTGTGTATACGGGGTCTAGCTGGGGCACAGTATTTCAACCCATTACAAAAAGCTCAGAAGCATCTGTAAATTAATGATCACAATAGTGAATCTATAATGTGCAACATAAATAGATTTTTTTCTGTCATAATTTTTCACCTTAAGACTTCATACAGTAAAATAATCAAAAAAAGCAGATTAAAATCTGTTATTTATTACATGACCATATAGATTACACTAAAGTATGACACAAATTGCTCTTATCTGTAGCCATTATGCAGTTTTTATATCTTACACACACACACTCACTCACACACACACACACACACAAAGAGTAATATAAGGGCTTTATCCACTTGATTGGCTCTATGACTTTCTCTCCTCTCCACCTGTAGCTGGTGTGTGGTGAGCGCACTGGTGCCGTTGTCCTGTGGCTGCCGTCGCATCATCTAAGTGGATACACTGGTGGTGGTTGAGGAGAGACCCCCTCCACATGATTGTAAAGCACTTTGGGTGTACAGCAATACACAACAAAGCACTATATAAATGTGTCATTTATTCAAACAACAGTTTCACTTAAACCTTAACCATATTGAACTTCATTCACAATTACACTATTAGAAACATCACATGCAGACACAAAAAGTTTAGTTGCAGTAAATGAGGAGATGTTCTATTTAAAAACTCATATCATGTTGCTTTATCTTTATTTTGTGGCATATGAGCTCAAGTGAAACTGAAATGGCTGTTTATGTAATACAATTTTTAACAGATCGGATAGATGCTTCCAACCAAAAGCGCAGGTGTTTCCTGTTGATACAGTCAGAATCAAACCTCTGAGCTCTTGATTGAACTGTTAAAATAACCCTGTGCTTTTCTTCTGTAGATGCGCTCTGACATTTGCTGTTTAGCAATAGCCTTGTTATTTTATATATTTTGCATCACACATTTAATATTTACTTAGTATAAAACATACTCTGCAAGCATTTTGGAGAAACAAAAATTTGGACTTGAACTTATACTTTAATTGTGCAACATAAGCACTCAAAGGAAATGTATAATTTGTTTCATAAAATTATGACTTGATTCAGTTATGGACGTTGTTCATGTGTTCATGTTAATGTAAAATTACCAGTAGACTTAACTTAAATATGTAGAGAGAGAGAGAGAGAGAGAGAGAGAGAGTCCCATGTCAAATGAACTCAAACTAATCTTTTCAGAATTAGATGGCAAAAGCACACGTGCAAGAACATAGCATAAATATGAGCAATATCATACGAGTCGCTGTCAGGGGCATGTTTAGAGTTTTGAGGGCACTAAGCAAGAAGCTCTGCTTAGTGGTAATCCCATCAGTGGCAGTCCCGTTCCCCCGTGGGACACCCGTGGTTTGCATGTTGCCTAAACATGCTATTGGTACACTATAAAAATGAGTGTAATTTGAACTGTAAAATATTGTAAAAACTTTATGGAAAATTGTTTTAATATATAGGTTAACAGTTCCCATACTATTATAATAAATTGTAAAAGATCTAACCAAACATTTCATATAATTTTACAGCAAAATGCTGTTAATTGTACAGTTTTAGAAGTAAAATCAATATACCATTTAAAAACTGACAAAAACTGCAAACTGATATTCCAAGAATTCCCTGTGTGACACTCGAAAATTTAAAGTATTTCGTTTAAATAATCATGTTCCTTAAAAGTTTTTGTTATCAGTTATGTAAATTTGGGCTTTATGGTACATCTTCTGTTGTTTAATGAATATTTACTGCATTATTTTAGTGTCATGTGTCATTCTAGCAATCACAGCTGCCAAAATTATTTTCTGAAATTTTTTTTTACAGTGTAGCTGTGCAAAATGGCTCCATATCAGCACAGATGTGATTCTGATATGAACCCATGTCACATGGCTACTTGTGTGATATTGTGATTTTACAAAAGTTTGACAGAACACGTATGCAAATAAATAGGAGTGTCTTTAAAAAAAACTACTTCCTTCTGCCACTGATTTAGATCTCAGGTTGACAGTTTAACAGATGAGCCCAAGCCTCTATTACTAAATAGAAAACATCATTTCTGAACTAGCAAAGGAATGTTGGGCTGCTTCACTCAAGTGAACAGCTTATTGTGTTATGTAGAGTATTATGAGAGAGAGATGTACTGAGCGAGTGACACCTGCATCTGATACAGCATTCATTCTTCAGTCCAGTCTCATATTCACAATGAAACATCAGTTTGAATGTCCACTGAAGAAAGAGTTATCTTTGTTGTAAGATCCTTTCAGCTGTTAAGAGAATTTCCCATGAAAACGCTGGACAATGCATTTGTTGGTTGCATTCTATAAGGTGTTGCTAAAAGTAAAAAAAAAATCCCTGTTTGCAATTTCAGTCTCTTTTAAATAAAAAAGATGTTATATTTCGAGGACCAGAAGTAACAGTTGATTGTTTGTATGTATGTATGTAGGTCTATGTATGAATGATTTAATGGACGAGTGAACGAATGAATGAATGAACGAATGATTGAATGAATGAATGAATGAATGAATGAATGAATGAATGAATGTACTATTAGGGTTATGGTATGGCTCTTCTCGTAAATCTTCTCGTTGTGATGGTGCCTTTGACTACTGGGGAAAGGGAACAACGGTGACTGTAACATCAGGTAAGAAGTCAGATTTTTGTTTAGTTAGAGCCAAACTACAAAAAATGCATGTTTAGTAACAGACTTTTAGTCCACTAGTTTAAAGAGAGAAAGAGAGAGAGAGAGGGAGAGAGAAATCATGGACAATGTTGCATTTAATTATGAAATAAATAGAATTGTAGCTGGGTTTGCTGATAAAAAAAATCGTTAGAGTTTTTGTGCACTGAATAAATTAAAAGTATCACTGTGACTACGAAGCCTTTGACTACTGGGGGAAAGGCACGTCGGTCACAGTGACATCTGGTAAGAAGTACAATTTAAATCTTTCATAAGCGTTGACATGTGTTTTAAAAAATAATAGGAAAACTACTAAAGGTACAGACCGCTTGTCCGTTTTGCAAGAATGAAACTTAGACTGAATTAAAAGGATAAACAGTCGAATTTGTGGCTTATAGGATAATAAATAAAAGTGACTTGTCATACGAGCGCACTATTTTTGTATAATATCCATGGGTAAAACTGTCAGTGTGACTATGCTTTTGAGTACTGGGGGAAAGGAACCATGGTCACTGTCTCCTCAGGTAAGAAAAACTTACTAAAACAAAATCTGATCTAAGTGCGAAAAATTGTGACAGGTAGGCTAATTTGTCAAAAAGTTGTTTTTATATTTAAGCGACGTTTAAATGGATATTTACTCTACGATTCGGACAATTAAAGTCTGGACATGTCTTTAGAGTTTTGCTGGAAACGCAAAGATTCACATTAATTATGAATAATTAAATTGTACATATTTTGATGTGTAGCTTACACGCATTCAGATAAAACAACGAATCGGCTACAGGCCATTTAACAGATCCTGAGCATTTCTGAGTTGCATTTTTATACTGCTCTGTAACATTAAAATAATATTGTGTAACTGGGCTTTCGACTACTGGGGAAGCGGCACCAAAGTCACCGTAACAAACAGTAAGATTTTATTATTAATGGCAAGGACAGTTATCGTAAAATAAGACAAAATGTCACATGTATGTGTTATTATTTACAGTTTTCTTATGATATCTTAAGAGCTTTCTATTGATTGTTGTCAAATGAATGGTTATTCCATTAGAAAATGTTAAAGACTAGGCTACATCATTTTATAATGTTTCGTTGTATAGCTGCTAGAAAAGCGAACAAAAATCAATAACAGCATTGTTAAACGACTACTTTAACTGTTCATTCTTCTCGCAAGTGTTGTCAATCTGTGCAAATATTAGAAGCTGAAAACAGCTAAATATGACTAAATAAAGACTGCAACGTGTCTCGTGCGTTTAAACTTTTTACACTGCTATGGCCACTACTTGTTATATTTTAAAATAATAAATTGAATTCCGCTATTACTAAGAAAATACAATTCCTAAAATACAAATTCAGTTCTAAATAAATAAATAGCCAAAGTAAAACACCGGCGTATAAGCCAAGGTCTTAGGTCGGTACCCAACCGCTATTTAATAAATAATTACAAATTGATTTAGGCTAATTATCCCTTTTCGAATTATTCCAAAGTTCAATGTTACAATAATGCTATATATATATATATATATATATATATATATATATATATATATATATATATATGTATATATATATATATATATATATATTAATGAATTCTCGAAAGGTTGGGGTTGTTTTCATTTGTTCGTTTGGGTCACACTTTATTTTAAGGTTCAAATCTCGCTATTAACAAACCCTTAATGTAACACTTTATTTTAGGGTCTCTTAAGTTGCTTATTAGCATGCATATTACTAGAATATTAGCCAATTATTAGTACTAATTAAGCACATATTAATGCCTTATTCTACATGACCTTATTCTACATTCCTTACCCAATACCTAAACTTAACAACTACCTTACTAACTATTAATAAGCAGCAAATTAGGAATTTATTTAGGGAAAAGTCGTAGTTAATAGTGAATAAGTGTTCCCTATTCTAAAGTGTTACCACCATTAACTACGACTTGTGCCTTAGTTCTACTCATAATTTGCAGCTTATTAATAGTTAGCAAGATAGTTGTCAAGTTTGGGTATTGGGTCGGGTTAAGGGCATGTATTATCGTCATGCAGAATATGTGCTTTATAAGTAGCCTACTAATAAACGGCCAATATGTTAATAATAGGCATGATAATAAACAACTAGTTAATAGTGAGAATTGGTTCCTATACTAAAGTGTTATATTTGTTTGTTTTAACTTACACATTTCATAGGTTATGTGAACTGATTCACTAGAAACTAACTGAAAAGTAATCCTGCAGTCAAAATTTCCAGTAATAACTTAGTTTAGATATATAACACTTTATTTATTACAGCATCCAAGAAAAAATATATTTCACCTAATTCGCAAGATTTTGTGTTTTATTATGCAGCTCGTCGAAATATTTGGTTCTATTTGGTTAATCGAGCATTCAGCGTCTAAAACTATAAAATACCAGTTATCCAGGGCAACACTAATAACTTTTTGCTCATCTGGGAAACCTGTTTCAAAAAATCTGTGCTCTCCGACCTCCACAATTTCAATCGATATTTAATATCCATGTAGTAGCCTGTAGTAGTGCGGCACAACATATTAAGATGACCTGCAAAGTTTAAAGCCTCAGGATGATCGGCACTTCGAAGAGAAGTCTTCGATAGGCTACTCAGCGAAGTCTTTCTTCTTGCGTAAAACCAGTTCATCTCCATCGTTTTGCTTTATTTTACGTTATGCAATTTCATTTTTGTTATATTTCATTCATTAATCCATCCTTCCAGTCAATCATTTGAGATGTAGTCTAGCTGTCTAATAGGTCTAATAGTGTTCATAGCATACTACATGACATTGTATGTAGGCTATTGTCTGAGAACGATGCGTTGTCTCTACAGCTCAACCTTCTGCGCCAAAGTCAATCTTCCCCATGTCCCAGTGTACTTCTGATTCTGATGGGTTCCTCACCATCGGCTGCTTGGCAAGAGGTTTCTCACCTGTGGACTCGCTTACATTTAAATGGACGGATTATAATAACAAGGATTTGAGTGGTTTCGTGCAGTATCCAGCATTCGGACCTGATGGAGACTATACCAAAATCAGCTCTCTGCGCATAAGAAAAAGCGATTGGGATCCTAAGAAACCGTACAGATGCGAAGCTTCAAATTCTAAAGGCACATTACCAACTAATATTACTGCACCATGTAAGTTCAATTTTTTTTAAATATCTAACATTTTACATGAGCTACTTCATGTGTCTCTCTATAGGCTATCTTGCTGTTGGATTAAGATTATGTTGTTGTTTCTTTGTGGAGGCTCATGTTTGATTGGAAATTTTAGCACACTCTTTGGTTTAACCAGTGAACCTGCTGTTATGTCAAGCAGTTGTCCTTTAGCAAAGTCTGATGTCAATCAATGTTTACACCAGCTGAGAACAGCAAGGCTACAAATATAGCTAGTCTAAATGCTAGAACAGAAAAGCACATTGTAGGTTACACGATTTCTTTAATCAATGAAATGCCCCAAGGCTTTCAGAAATACTTCAGGTAGGCTAATACAATGACATATGAGATATTTCCCTGCTGTGTAATCCAAAATAGAAGAAGAAGAAAAAAATTGAATATACGCTAAATATACAACATTTAACAGTAACGTTCAAACTGAACCACAAGAGCATCTTATTGGCTTGCTTTAAAAGGTATGTTGCACTATTTTCCTTTGCTTTTCATGTCCCCTCTGCTTTCTCCTGTATGTTGCCAGCCCCACCGCCAGATGTGCGTGCAACTGTGTACTTAACAGTACCTACAAAAATGGAGTTAGACAACGAAACAGCAACCTTCATGTGTTTAGCCCAACGGTTTTCGCCTAAATCAAACACGTTTAAGTGGTCTCTGGATGGTAAGGAGGTGACAAAAGCGATAGACAAATGCGACAAAAGTGAGAAGAAAGGCTCAGTAACCGAATATAGTGCCACAAGCATTTTGCAAATCAGTGCCGGTGACTGGAAGCCAAACACCAAAGTTAAGTGTGAGTTCGTGCACAAGGCGGGAAATGAAGAAAGAGAGGCCGAATTTGCAGGTATGATTTCCCTTGAGAACTGTGAATGTTTTGAAAATAGAAATGTCTATTTTTTTTCTGTTTCTTTATTCATATTATGTTTATGTCTCCCCAAATCTGTCTGTTTTTTGTTCCCAGCTATTTTTCAAGATTGCAGCGATATTGCTGTTGATATAGTGGCTCCCTCCCTTGAAGCCATGCTGAAAAATAGAGAAGGAGTGCTGAAGTGCAAAGCTTCAGCAGACAATTCAGGATTCACCAAAATAACAATAACAGCGAATAATAATGACATAGCTGAGAAACCAGTAGAGGGCAACGACAAATATGTGGAACTTGACGCCCCAATAGGCTATGAAGAATGGAGCAACGGCACTGAATTTACATGCACCGTTGAACACAACGAGCTAGCAGAGCCCAAGTCGACTAAGTTCGTCAGAGAAAATGGTATGAGCTTTTCTTTTTGTAAAACATGCAGTTCATGCTTTCACAAGGTCTCTTGATTTATACCATCTTTCATTACAATTGACGTTAATATAGAGTTTGACAAAAAATTATAAGGAAATGACTCATAACTCATTCTGGTCTTAATTGTGATCTTGTATTACTAGGTAAAAACCCCAAGAAACCCACTGTTTTCATATTAGCACCCCCAGAGCACAAACCGGGTGAACCGATGACCCTGACATGTTATGTGAAGGACTTCTACCCCAAAGAGGTGTTTGTGTCTTGGCTTGCTGATGATGAACCTGTGACTTCTAAATACAGCACTAGCCTGCCAATTCAGACAGATCAAATCTTCTCAGTCTACAGTCAGCTAACAGTTAATGATTCCAAGTGGAAGAATGGTACAGTGTTCAGTTGTGTCGTATATCACGAAGGCATTGATGAAAAAATGCGCGTACTGACGAGGTCTATTGATGATAATACTGAAAAGGCAGGTGTAATTAATCTAAGTATGAATACCCCCGCATCTTGCAAGGACTAGAGCATTGTGTATGTGGTGTCTTCCTGTTATGCCTGTTAAGTGTTCATTTTGTTTTCTCTTTTTTTTTCCTTTTGGTTTTTGGGTTGCATGTCCATTTTTGTAATTGTGTTGGTCTTTAATGTTTGTGGCTTCTTGCTTCTTTGAGATACTTTCTTGCACATTACATTTAGGAAAAGACTAATAAAAAAGAAACAAAGCATAATTCCTGTGCCTTTCTGTTATTATACCAGTTGATCATATTTCTCTGTCACAGCATCTGTGAGCATTAAAGATCACAAACATTATAAAATAACATCACATAAATTGAAATAAAAAATGTGTATATTTATTTATTGAATGACACAAAATGTATTCAAATTAAAACATGAAACTTCAGTTAAAATATCAAAAATGGAAGAAGAAGAATCAAAGCAATTTTTGAAAGTAATTAAGAAATACCCATAAATAAATAAAAATAAATATTAAAAAATATATAACTTTGTAGTTAAAAAAGACTAAATGTCGTTAAAGCTATACCATTAGCTGGCACATAAAATGCTTAATAATGGAAATAAATGTTTGTCAGTGTGTGTGTGTGTGTGTGTGTGTGTGTGTGTGTGCATGTCATTTGTACTGTTTGATATTATAATCACCTAAACACATTATGCTCTCCATAACAGTTTAGTTATTAAAGAATGATAATTCATAGCCACATCAGTTCATCCTCAGCATGCCAAGACACATTCAGCTGACTTATTTGAGGTTGTCAGGGTCACCTTTCTTTGCTAATATTTCTATTGTGTTTTAATTATGTAGTAAATGTGCTACATAATTAACAAGATGAAACATGGCAGATGAAAATCCTCAAATTTCAAAAACAGTATAATTCAATCAAAGTTCTTTCTCCGTCACAATATTCTAATTGTTTTCCTTTTACTGGATATCCCTGCCCTCAGCCCACTTGTCTAATTTTATATGAGGATGGGTAGGTGAAGTGATTAAAACATTATAATTATAAGAGGACATGTTTGTGCTGAACAGTGGCGTTGTTGTCCTGTAGATCATGCAAATGTGTTCTTGTCTGTTCCCGCAGCATGGATTGTGTGGATAGAGCATCCCCTGTACGAAGTTATTGATACAGATGATAGTGGCATTGCTAACACTGCCGTAACCTTTGTTTTCCTGTTCCTCATCACCTTGTTCTACAGCATAGGGGCTACTTTTGTTAAGGTATGCCATTTTTAGATTTTTTAGTTAATTTTTAGTTTAGGATAAACATGAGACTAGATTTTATTGGAGCATTTTAATTTTGTGCCAATTATCATTTGGAGAGAGATGATGCAGAAACATTGTTTTTGCTTTTTAACATAATATTTAACTTTGACATATATTTAACATATGCATGTTAAACAGAAGTTGTTTTTTCTGGCTCTAATTGGTGTCAAATTATGCTTTCAGGTGAAATGATAGATTCCTTTAAGGACATGCAAGATCTCTCAGAAAAACGGCTCTATTCTTTTTTTCATTATTGTAAATATGTGATTGTGATGTTTGTTTGTTTTTAAATTTTACTTTAATAAAAGAAAGAAACCATTTGATTGCTCTTGATTTTTTTTTCTCTCAAGTTTACAAAATTTTATCTCAAGGAGAAAATCTGATTTGCACGATAAACTCGAATGCTGCTCTAAGCATGTTTATATAAAAAGTAACATTTATTAACACAGAGAGGTATTTAAAAGCCTTTGTGAAATATTTCCATATTTTCTGAATATAATAACTTACACAGAATTTTCTTAAATCCAATAATTAATTTTCAGCAAATCTATAGGACTTTGTTCTTTGTGAGACTGAAGCACAGCAATGTCTAGTTGTGAATATTGGTGAGTGTAAATATTTCATGCTGCAAAGTTTATTAAAACATAAATTGCATAACAAGCGAGTCGTTTTATGTAAATGGCAAGGTGTCTTTCCTGTGCAGATGTGCTCGACCATGTCTCAGAAATGCAGATGGTTATCAGTTCTGCTTTCGGTGGCTATTTCAGCTTGACTGTTACTTAACGTTTCCATCTGCTATTTGCTATGTTCACTGAAGCATGATTCTGATTTCCTCTTCTGTCCGTCTTTGTTTTCAGTATCTGCAACATTTAAAAAACTCCCATGATGTAAATAACCACCACACTGAAACATCAACAGCATTCATTTACATGTCCATTTGAATGTATTCAATAAGCATTTTCATAAACTTTGTACCTTTGTTTATACTACATTGCCTAAGTTAATTAATTTTCATCTCTATTTTAATAGCAATACGCGTCTTTAAGCCTACTATTGCTCTGCTGAGTAGAGAGGACGGTGACAGGATTGTGTTGGAGTGCCAGCTGAATGATTATTTCCCAGACAAACTTACTGTACAATGGCTTGAGGGTATTAATTCTGTCAAAGGTCAAATTGATAAAAAGTTACAGAACACTGATAAAGGTGAGAAAAAGTACACTTACGTAAGTCGGCTATCTATCAGTGCCCCATATGAAGACAAAACGTACACTTGTAAAGCCACACACAACACAGAAGAGTTCAAGGAAGAATATAACGCGTGCATGGGTAAGTTGAGCATAATGAAGAAAATAATGGACAACTTTCAAAACCTAATGTCTGGCTCATTGAAATGTTTGAAAGTATAATTATTGCATTAGCATCATTATATGTGATTATTGGCTGAATGTAAAGCTAACTTTATTTATTTCACCTGTACAGAAAAGTCTTTGTTCAAACCTTCAGTCCAAGTAAAGAAATCCCATCTCAGAGACATTATACAGGGGAGTCAGGTCACGATTTCCTGTGTTGTTAAAGCACCAGACAACACTGAAGTGTCATGGTTGATAAACGGTATAAGTAGAAAAGGCACCACAGAACATAAAGACCCGTCCATTAATAACATTGTGAGCAACTTGAATTTGTCCAGACAAGAGTTGACTCATAGCACCATTGTTTGTACCGCTAAACATCCATGTTTCAAATTAGAGAAGGTGGAAATTAAAGCTGGTAAGTGGTTTCTTTTGCACTGATCAGCATTTGTCAAAGTTCCTGATGATGATTTAGGTTCTAAAACCTACATATCATGTGATAAAGTATATTTGTGTCCCTCAGATGATATAAAGAAAGATCCTGTGGTGGTGATCAGGAGGCCTTTCGTGAAATCAATGCAGGCAGCCAGTGCTGTGCTGGAGTGTGTTGTAAATGGTCTTCCCTCTGGTGAGGTCTGCATCATCTTCCAGTCCGATGATACTCCAGTCTCAGGTTTAAATTGTGTGGATTGGGCCCCTTCTGAAAACATTTGGTCCTTGATCACACATTTTACAATACCTAGTGAGCACCAGAAGAATGGAAAAACTTTTACCTGTACAGTTCATAGGCTCTCCAAATCCTGGAAATCCAAACCTACTGGAAACATTTTTGGTGAGGAATGAACATTTCATCAATACAACATTAACTATACTGGGGACAGTAATTTATGTAATGCATTGAATTTTATTAAGGATGTATTATTTTTTGTTCACTGAACACTTGAAACTTGATTTTTCCCCCCTCAGGCAATCCTACCATAGAGCTTGCTGTTGTTCCCAGTGTGAGTAGATCTAGTTTAGACACTCAGAAGCTGCTGTGTTCTGCGACAGGATTCGACCCGAAAATCAAGTGGCTTTCAGTATCTGGTGAGAATCCTGGGAGAGCTTTAGACGCTACAATGATGGAAGATGGACGTGTGAAAGTGTTCAGTGAGATACTGGTGCCACAGCAAGAGTGGAATCAAGAGATCACTTGTCAAACTAAAACTAAAACTAAAACTGCTGAGGAAAGCATCAGTATTTGCACAGGTAAACATGCCAAATGTGACAGGAACCCCCTCTCTATAATCAACATTGCAATGAGATGCAAATATCTGATAATATTATAGTTTATGCAAGAATGTTTGGTTTTTTTCCTTACCTTTGAGTCAGCGAATGTAATCTCTCAACACATGTGTTCACTGTCCAACAGTGATTGCACCATCCAGTCAGCGGGCAGAGTTCTACTTGGTGGGTCCATCCCTCAGTAGTGTGAGATCTGACACCTCTGTCTATTTGACATGTTTGGTTGTTGTTCAGAGTGTCAAGTTGTTCTCCATTCAATGGAAAGTGAATGGTATCGTTCCCAATCCAAATGGCCATGAACAAGAGCCTAGAGTTCATGACAATGGGACTGAAAGCAAAGAAAGTATTTTGAAGGTTTTTGTTACAGATTGGAATGCATATGCTCTCTTTACCTGTGAGGTTAAGCATCTGTGCTCAGATTATACACAGGAGAAGAGAATCTCAAAAACCCGAGGTGAGCACTCACAGTTCTCAGCACTGCCATTGCAGAGACTATTTTCTGATTACTAATTGTTGCCTTATGCCTGCAGACCCCAAACAACCCACTGTGAGAATCCTCAGACCCTCAGACAGTGATCTCTCTGGACTCCAAAATGCCTGCCTTCTTTGCTTGATCACTGGTTTCTTCCCATCTGATATCTCCGTGCAGTGGCAACTAAATGAGACACAGCTAGATGCGTCTCAGTTCACTAACAGTCCTGTGGCTGCTCACACGTCAGGAGGTTTTTCAATGCATAGTGCCCTAATGCTGCCTGCATCAGAGTGGAAGGACGGCACGTTCTCGTGTGTTGTTTCTCATGAGTCATCCCAAAATCCAATCACTGCCACTATAGAGAACTTGTATGGTGGGTGCCATCTGGAAGAAATCGACCTGATATTTTAAATAGGATTGATTTGATTTAATTGCTGAGATTGTTTTCATTTTGGTTTCATATGGTTTTGAAAAACTTTGATATCCTTGTAAAGAAAGGTTTCAATTGAAGTTATATCAATAAAATTATTATAAAAGTATAATAAAAAAAATATTAAAAAAATATAATTATAGAACTTTTAAAACGTATTAATTTATTTACAATTTTTTTTTTAGCCTCGTTGATTCGCTCTCCTCCATCTGTAGAGCTGCTGCAGGGTACTAGTGTGCCTGAGCTAGTGTGCCTGGTATTTGGTTTCAGCCCACCTGCCATCAACATCACCTGGTGGCTAGGTAAGACTGAGATGTCTGCCCACAGGATCACTCACCCTGCAAAAGGCCCTGATGGAAAATTTAGCATCCGAAGTCACCTGGATCTCCAACCTTCAGACTGGGTACCTGGTGAGGTGTACACATGTGAGGTCACTCATGTTACTGGAATCCTGTCGCCTAATATCTCAACGAAAACAGGTACCCTAGATTTCAAGTACTAAAACAATTTTATCAAGGAAATAATGAAGTTTAAATGTTGATTTATTCTTATACTTTTTTACAGCATTATTTGAAGAGGCTATATTTATGAATGAGAACAAACCTGAAGCTATTGCACAGGATACAGTTGAAGAGGCCTGGAACATGGCCTGTGCCTTCCTCGTCCTCTTCCTCCTCTCTCTCTTCTATGGGTGCACAGCAACTTTGGTCAAAGTCAAGCCTACTTGAGCAATATTTTGTGTGTGTGCTTATGTTTTCTAGATTCCTTTACTTCTTTGTTGTTGTTGTTTTGTTGATGTCTTTCAATTGACATAACTTTGCAAATATTATATGGTAAATATCAGCTTTTGGCCTTGTGGCCATTTAAATATGAATAAATAAATGGTTTTAACACATTTTTTGTTATTATGTTAGCAGTGCATGTAAACATCACCGATTTGTCATTTTTTTCAAATTATTCCTGAAAGTTATCTCAAATGATGTATTGTTTTTGTTTTTGAATAAAATAGCCAACTCCATTGTCTTGTTATGGCTAATTTCACAGCCAGAATTTTAGTCAAGCTTTATTGTTGAAATAATATTTTTTAAACTATTTGAGTAATTTGACAAAATTTCTGACTGCTTAAAAATAAATTATACACAACAAAAACGTTGGAAATTCTTAAAACATAAAAAAAATGGTTTCTTTTAATTTCACTCATTGTTTAAACCATGTCTGTTCATGTTCATGTCGTGATTTTCATAGTTTAAGATTAAAAGTCTGGGATGAGGGCTAAGTTTCCAGGCCAGTGTTATTGTTTCAAACAAAGAAACAACTGAATTATAAAAATCAATCCATGGGACATGGGAATATTACATTTACATTTAGTAATTTAATCCAAAGCGATTTACAAGTGAGGACAATAGAAGCAATCAAAACCAACAAAAGAGCAAGATTATGCAAGTTCTATGACAAGTCTCTGTTAGCCTAATGCAGTACACATAGTAATGCGTTATATATATATATATGTACTGTATATATATATATATATATATA